TATAGAATAAAACTTCAACTTGTAATCTATACAAATTAATTACCTTTTTTTATTATGTAATGTAATGAATTATGCTATAGTGTAAATAACCCAATATGAACCAGATGAAACTGGTCTATTTCTAATAAGGAAATATAATATGGAAATTACAGATTTAAATTTTAAATTAAAAGTAATAGATACAAGACATTAAATTCATCTATAAAAATCCTTCCCTCGCACTATTGGACAAAAATCTCCTCTCATTAGAAAAGAATATTAACTTATTGTTAACAAATTAGCCAGACGGTTTGGTATACAATTCGTGTGAAAACTATCCTATCACCAAATTTGGTGATAGGATTTTAAAGTAAATCCATGAGTCACCTTTTGCGCTATTCTGAGGCTGAAATTATTATTAACTTTATCCTTATGCCGTCACTACACTATGTACATATATATATAAATGTAAAAATGTATAGCCTGTCAGCCACACAACTGTAAAATTAGATGGTAAAGTTTATATTAATTATTTTTATTAAAAATAATAATAGCTGCCTACTTGTTGTTGTACTCCTGACCAAATACTGGTGATGCATGTGACTCTTCTTTCATTGTGAATAAAATCTTTAGATATAACTCGGACGTTTAACAAACAATGTGAATAAACTTCGCTCATGCTAAAAAATTAATGCGTCTTGAAAAATTATCATCAAAACTTTATATTTCCAAATTTAATGATTTTATTTATCATTTTTTAACATTTTATGATTTTTTAGAAAAATGTACATATTTAAAATTATTTATAACCAAAAAACATTATAATAGTTTTTATGCGAAACTTCATCCAGGTGTATTTTATTAAAAGGGGACCCATCTTATATTTAATATATATCATTATATTTATATATATATATATATATATATATATATATATATATATATATATATATATATATATATATATATATATATATATATATATATATATATATATATATATTCTAAATACACGTGTAGTATTTAGAATATTTTTATTCCAAATACTACACGTGTACTAAATTCCATAACGATTTCATAGCACGTTGCATTTTTGTTTTGTTTGTCTCAATAAAACAACATCTTAGCACTTTATGGACGCCTTAGTTGTGTGTTTTAATAAAATTAATTTATGGTCTTTAAAGCTATCAATATTAAATAGTATTTTACTATTAAGGAGGAAAAAATTACTTTTCTTATAATATTCGCATATATGTACTTTATATGTGAAAAACTATAATTATTCCAGATGTGTTGTAAGCTGTAATTATTTCAGAAATAAGGAGAAGAGAAGCATATTTTATTTAATGGTCAAGAAAGAAAAAATGAGACCCTTTCATATAATATCCCACTTAAACTAGTAGGTCTATTTTGAAACTTTGTATATCTAGATAAGACCTCTACTAAAGAAAATAAAAATATTTTTTAATTATTTTCAGTTTAATATATGCGGGTCAATTGTACTTAATTACACAACCCAGAACTATAAAAAAAAATCTTCCAAATTTTAAATCGATAACATTTGTAGTTGTTTAGCAATAACGCTGTAAAAAACGTACGGACACAGTTGCATCACAAGTGTCATTTGTACCTTTATGGTATGTAACCCTGAAAAAATATGAGTGATCATATCCATGAATTAAATTCATATAGTACCGCCACTTTTATCCAAAAACGGTATACAGAGTATAGTATAGTAGTATTGGTTATAATGTTATAACGTTGGAAAGTTTGAATTACAGAATGCGTTATTTATAACATTATTTCTATTCCTTTAATAAAAAAGAAGTTAAGTAATAAAATATGAAGGGGTCTACAATATGCTAAAATTAAAACAATTTGATATTTAATAAAGTCTAATTACCATAATATTTTCATAACTAAGTCATCTAGGGGGAAAGGGATTGTTAGCAATGGAGTTTGACAGCCCCATTGCTAGCAATATGCGCTATTAGGTCGAACTCCACGTGGTTCCCCCCAGGAAACCATCGTGAACAATTCTTGTTGAATTCGTCACGATGGACTAACTGACCTGAGGGCCTACCATGAAATGTTTTCCGAAATTTTAGAGCCAAACGAAACAGAAATTTGATGTTAAAATATTGTTCCTTTGGACTTTTATGATAGGATGTATGACGAACGAAATGTTAAACTCCATTTATTGGTCCGATTTTGGTATGAACAAATACACGAAATTGAGTCCGAAATTTCGGAATTTCATTTCATGGTAGACCCGCTGCTTCACCCTCATCTATCATTCCTCACTGGTGCCCCGCCGGTGTATACCGATAGCACGGGTGGGGATACCATTCCATTATCACCCATTAAAAAAAAAACAAGTCATCTAAACCTATTGTCTATCTTTATTCCTTCCGGTTCCAGAAATTCAAAGAAAAGCACCGCTGCTATTTGTATTTGTAAAATGCCACACAAACCAAAATAATTGCTAATAAAAAAAATATTACTAATTTAAAAATAAATAGCAAAAAAATAAAAACTTTATGATAAACCACAAAACCAACTGTACTATGTTATATAATCCATACCTATTTAATCTTTTATAAATAAGGCTTGGTAAGAACAGAAACAATCAGTTATTTTCCTGGTATAAAGGTGCTTTTTGTACTTGATTCCATAGATGCATCTCCTTTTAATATGTTTACTGACTTGGTGCCGACAAAAAAAAACATAAAACCGTTTTCTCGGGATCGAGTTTAACAGTACGTACGTATCTCGGACATCGTAATCCCTTTTTTACTGGAAAGGACTTCAGTATACTTATTGTGACAGCCAAACAAATTTTACGCTAGAGTTATTTACTTTTTGCGTCTGAGCGCTGTTATAGGAGATAGAAATGCAGCCAACGTTAATATCTTATAGATACGTTTGTCAATCCGACAAATATATTTAGCATAGGATGTGGTTACGTTGTAGGAAGTTCATTCTATATGTATTTGATACAAGTTCCCAATAAGTCCCCTAACTTTAAAGAATTTCACCGAATCACAATCATTTTAAAAAGTAAAGAATTTATAAATGAAAGATTTGGACTGCCTTTGGTATTGAATAAGATTTGAAGCCACAGAATTTTAGTGTTGAATTATTACAAGTGAAGTACTAACAACTTAGTTGTATTTGTAAGTCGTTATCGATTAACGAGGTTAAGCATCATTGACTGTAGTCTGTCTTTGTACAGATGACTATTATTGTTCATTATATGTAGTGACATGTTAATTTTTCATACTTTGGAAGTCAGTTAAGTCGATTTCAATTATTTTTACTAAAAACCATAGTTATCGCATTATTTTCCATAGATTGGATGTCCGTACCATGCTTTAAACATTTATACAATTGCTCCAGTTTCATACTATGTGTTATGAAAAAATTAGATATCAAACGATTTCTAAAAACTTTTTTTTTATACCACGTATACGGCAAACAAGAAGGACACTTTGTACAAAAGTCGTTTGCTCTCTGTCTGTACCTCTGTCGTACCTCTGTCCAATTTGTGTTTCGTAAAGCAGTTGTGTTTGCATGGCTGTGTTTCGGTTTGAAGGATGGGATATGGCGTGAATTTACGGGATACAGAGGAATTACACCCGAGTCCTCAGGAATGGCAACGCATGGGGAGTATCATAGGTAAAACGTATACTCTGTTGTGTCCTTGGTACTGCTCATTCATATCTATAGGCGACGGTGACCACTTTCTATCAGGTGGCCCGTCAGCTCGTTTGCCATTCGAAGTTGTATAAAAACAAAAAACAAGCATACACAGCCCGTCTGATGGTAAACGGTCACTGTAGCCTATGGACGCCTGCAATACTAAGGGTGTCATGTGACTGTTGCTAACCTGGTAATAATTAGAAATTAAGAAAGGGTTTCTTTAATTCCAATACCACCAAAAATTATAACGAAATTGAAAGAAGATGACTGCATTGATTAAATATACATTTGAATTATTAAAACTTAAGGTAACTTAAACAAATATATTTGTATGTGCCGTCATAATGTTACATTTTACTTATTGATCTACAAAAAGCTGCCGACAGTTCTTTTGCAATGCACTGAACAAAAAGATTATAATTTCATTACGAAACATAGATACAAAAGGGGTTGTAAATTTTATTGGTGTTTTATGACAGGCATTTGTACATCCCTGTCTGTCCCTTACAGATTACAATATCTACGTAAAGACTTTATTATTTTAAATTCTTCAAATGAAAAAGTTGCCGACAGCAAACATTGTGAGGTCCAAGTACATACCTTACTTATATAATGAATGACTAATAAAAATCTAAATAATAATCATTTTTGATAAAACATTTGGCTATATTTTATTTTCCATGTTCAATATAGTGTACATTTTTATTCTTTTAATTTACAACCAAAATTAATGCATGTTGAAATATTTATTACGTCATTTTATCGATAGAAAACAGAATTAAGTAAAATTAAATTCGTAAATAATTTCAAACATAATATATGTAATTATTAAAAACAGTTTCAGCGTGATCTCAAGGATCATTCTTAAAGTTTCTGCATGATTCATTATGGTGATTCGCCTGACACAGATTTTAAATCTTTCTCTACAACTGGCTGACACTGAAATTACTTGACAAATAATGCAACATTAGTAATGATTTTTTATGCAACCTAATATTAAAAAAAATAACAATAAATCATTTTTAATGTAATCCTAAAATTAATGTTTAAAGTAAATGTGGGGAAAATAGTAATAAACGTATATGCACTAAGGAAGTTTTGTATAAACAAAGCAAAAACAATTACTCAACATAAGACAAAGTTAAGAAAGGCTTTGAATAATGAAGGGATGGCATCCATACACGAAACAGCACTTTTACTGGAAATACTTACTGGAATGCGTATTTGTGTAAGTGTGGTACGTTGGTGCGGTGGTGCGGAGGTGCCGGTGGTCGGTGCGCGGGCGCACGGGGCCGGCGCCGGCGCGGGCGGGGGCGGACCTGTTCAGGCAACGGTGTCGCAGGCACCGCACGCTAGTTCTCAGTCCTTTCGCGGCGGCCAACGGTATTGCATGTGCCGCTAGCTGCTACGCACCAAATAAACATCAACAACGCGAGGAAACTTGCCGTGAAGTGTGATATGATGCTGACTTGTGTGTTTTAAAAGACAGTGAAAAGTACGAACAGAAGGATCGAGTGCAGTGTACAATAACGCCCGAAAATGCCGAAAATTTTCCTGATAAAGAAGAGGCTGCATGAGCAGCAATTGGGATTGCAGGAAGGGCAGGAGTTTCTATCTAATAAAGCGGACCCCTTATGCCCCGGCTCACCCCTTGACGATGGTCCTATACCACTCCTTTCTAAGAAAGACAAGGAATGCGTTGGTAAGTTTTTTAAATATTCATATCTAAATAATGCGCTGCCCATTTATCAGAAATCCTAAGTTATATATAAAATATATATCAATTGCTTCTTATATCAAAATAAATTATTATTCCCATCCATCCCAAATAATTATTTGTACATTAAAAGATATGTTCTACAATTTAACATCACATCCATCTTTTCATTCTTATTTAGGCTGCTAATCAATACCGGCTTTATTAATACAATTTGCAATATTGCCATCTGTAAATACTTCTTTTCCTCCATATGTTTTGCCAAATCGAACGATACTTTTTTTAGTTCTTCCATAACGGCCACTTGCTTGCCCAAAAAAACACATGTTCGTCTCGCACTTGAACAGAATCCTGTTCTCGGCTATGCTTTACCAACGAACGTCTACCTGAGATCATTTGTGTGACTTGCGTGATCCTAATCTGTCGCAGCGTATATTAAAAGATTTTGTAGGGTAGATTTTGTAATAATCAAATTTGATTTGATTATTTAACAGCTTTCCAAATTCTTTGAGTTCTTGTAGTAATTTCTGCAATATTATAAATTAACATATTATATTCTGTAACTTAAACTTAATTTATTCATATTTCTAAAACAATAACAATAAAAACACCTTGTGGTTTGACCCTCATCTTACGTTTTAACGGTCCCAGTCAACAGGTAGTTACCTACCAAACGTGAATCACTGATATAACTGTCGTGTTTTTGCGTATTTCCACGAAATGTTTACTCTCGTTTATATGCTAAAATTTTGTGTGCATGTTTAGCTCTAATTTATTTTTTCTCAAAAATATAAATTGTAGTCAAGTCAGCTTGTTGTCAAGAGCATTAGTATTTAAGAAATAAGAAATATTTATCATATTCACCATAACAACCCATTAGCGTACTACTACAAGGCATAAGGAATCTGGTTCTCTTCCCTAAGAATATGCGAAAAGAATAAGGAAAGGGTACCATTAGCACGCTATCAAACGGCTTGGTAATTTGGTATTATTTCAACCTTTTCGTCTCTTGTACTGAAGTATTTTACTTTATTCTTGTTATGTTTCTACTATTATAATACCCAGGAGATGAAATGTAGTGGTGAGATAACATATTATATTCTTACCAAATAGTTGGTCATATTTACGGTACAAATTTTTAAGTATGTACGCACTTGAAAAAAAATATGACTAAAGATTTTAGACGATTATAGTCACGACCTAAAACTTCCAAACAAGATTAGCATCACGACCGTGAAAACATGTCACATGATTTAGGTAAAAAGTATAAAATATTTACTTTGTGAACTAAACAAATTAACAACAATATTTCTGTTTAAAGTAGTTCCTTTTATTGAAATAACTACTGAAAATCTGGATGTAATTAATTTTGTTGCATTGAAATTAACATGCTATAAATACAGGTTGGGTGAACAAAGGTGAACAGTATTAAGTTAATATTAAAAACAGTTTGTTCATTAGAATTATGAACTTCATAACTGACCCTCCCAATTGATTTTACAAAAGTATAAAATGTTATTAATTATGTTATGTATTGATTGCATTCATAATCCAGTACATTTATGATCCCCTTGTAAAGATATTTACTTTATAATATTTTGTAATGTAATCAGTAGCATATGAACATTACATAAAAAAAAAACATTTAAAACTCCTCACTCCTTATTCAAGTATTTCCCTTGAGTCTTGAATGAAACCTATTTGACCAAAATGAGCCTTTCAACATACCTCATGCATTTCTTGATGCACGCATATCTTTATTTTCTTATATAAATTTTAATACCTGCGTATCGAGTGTGATGAACGCGATAGGAATTAACCGGATGATGTAGTAGGTGTCAATGGTTGCGGCACAATGGCGCGGCTTCCGGTCATCGCATCGCTTTGTATTTAGGTTAGTCACCGCGATCTCTGCCGCCATTTCAATATAATTAACATTGCCATTTAAATACGCATATAGCTTGATCTCTATATTAATTTCTTTAAAGAACTTAGTATATATTTTCCTAAATAAAGTAAAATTATATTAAAATGTTCAGAACAGTCGAATTTAAATATCGCAACTACTAAAATCTATTTGAAGAACCGCATTTGTTAATTTTTGAGTATTTCCTTCAATTTCTTTTTCAAACGCTTATCTTCTTTATCTCTTTCTATTTTCTTTTTATCTTTTGTTCTATAAAGTTTGAGTATGGAACTTTCAATGCATTTGATACTCTCGATATTATCAACAAAATTCTTATGTCAATTATATGAATGACACGTTAGTCATTTAGTACTAGAATATATTGGTACATGAAAACGATCAAGATGCGCCTTCTAAAATCTAGCATCCAGACACCATGCATTTGTTGTTCTACTAGATGGAGACGGGTCTGGAGAGACAGTCAATATTGACATTGACTATTTCTCAATATATAATGGTATTCCTTTAATTCCCTATTTGTAATTTTTTATCAATATAGATGACAGTCAATTATGGTTATCCTTTTTTAAAATTATAAAACTTTGAATCGTTTTCCGAAGGTTGCATATATTGCAGCAGGTAAATTTGGCCATAGGAATATTGCAAAGGTAAGACATATAATTACAAAACTGTACCATAAACTATGTACATATCTGTCACGCCTGTTTTTTATTAGAGAAGGCAGAAACAATGGAATGCAAAATTCTCAGATTCAAATAAGCCCTTTTGCTTCCTTCCCATTCATCAATCCTTTCATACACGCTCGCCGGTCACAGGTACTTTTAATTTGGACCCTTCTTTAGCACGTCGCCTATTTGATCGACATATGTCCATCTAGTGCGGCTATATATAATATTAGAGATAATAATAAACTAAAAAATAATTAATAATACATACTTGTATAAAAAATTGCTACACACAATAAAACACATTGTCACGATAAATTATTTTGTTACACTAGTCGATGCAACAAATGAGTGCACCGTTAACCCGTATGTCGATCGTTTATTCTAAAGGGCACAAAAATAGAGATAAAGGGCATAAAAATAGCAAAAACTCAACAGCAATTACAGGTGCTTTTTCACCTGTGCGAAAGGGCGACACGAAGGTCGGCGCTTGACAATGTGCGGGGTGTAGTTAAAAATAGGGGACGGGAGCAAAACATGATGGGGTTATTAAATATTACCATACGAATAATTACTTAAGTATATAATTTATACAACCTTTGTATGTATCCTTTTTTTATACTATGATAGAAAGCAAGTATACGTCCTGATGGTAAATGGGAACTGTAAGACCAGGGATGTCAAACGCACATTGCCGACCTAGTATCTTTACCAACCGGCTACAAAAAGAAGGTCTTATTGCGATTATATTTTTGTGTACGATAAGCATTATCTTCACCAATACTAAACTGATTTTATTATTCCATTTTAATCGAACAGTTATTTCTGTATTTGTCCTGTACTAAAGTTATAAGGTTATTTCAATCATAATCTTTTTGGTGGAGCAAAAGTTACTAAAGAATAAAATTCAAATAGGTATTATGTTTCAATAATTGCAATGTATCGATTAGTTGAAAAAATTAACAGTAAAATCATTACATATATGTAGGTATATTGTATCATTAACACTAATTGTTCTTAATTGTCATAAAATAAGTTGAATTTTTACGAATTGAAACTACTTCCAATTAAGAATGAAAATTATATAGTAACATTCATCATTTAATTAAAAAATTTAATACTTATATTTATACTTAATTGATTATTAATGTATTATTTAAAAGTAAACACTACTTATTAATTAATGAAACATTTTTAATACAATAACGAACCATTTAATCGCCACAAATTATGCCTAATAACCTTCAATGAAAAAGACATCAACGAGATTCATGCGTACTACGCTCGCTAGAAATTGATTCGTAAAAGTCATTCGATATTTAAAATATTTTTTTTAATTTAATTCTTAATCGTATATATAATAAGCGATGTTTTTATGTATTACTTACTTACTTTTTATGACTATTCATATAAAGTAAGATATATGAATAGTTATAAAAATACCCTTTAGTACCCATAGCATAAAAATTGCTTACATTGGAATTAAATTTTTACTACTTTCATCAACACATTTATACATATTATGTGTATATATGATTTTTTGAGGTGTCTTTTTTTATATGCAATAAAGGCGATTTAGATTTTTTTTATTTATTTAAATAACTATATTGACCAATATGGAACATGGTGTAAAAAGCGGACTTAATGCTAGTATATAAAAAACATCGAATGAATGAGTATACTTTATTTGCATTATACAATATAGGAAATAAACAAGACAATTTACAAACATAACGATACAATTGTATAAGTACAGTAAGGCGGTCTTATTGCTGAGAGCAATCTTTTCAAGACAACCTTAAGGTAATGGACTAATTGTTGTACAAGTAGGTATAATAGTGCTTTATAATTAATTAATAAAAACATTATATATTATATATACATATATAAATCATTATATATACATTTGATCAAAAGCAGTTCAATAATTTAGTTTTGAAATCAAAATAAATGGTTTAATAAATGAAAAAAACAATCTTAAACTATTGCAGCTATATTACACGATTACGTCATCAATTCTGAAACAATTTTATTACTTCATCGATAGAATTATAGCTGTAATTGTCCTATATTGATTTTGTGGTGATTGCATCTCTTTCTCTTCTAAACTTATAATTCCGCGTTCTAAACTTAGATATTTTTAATATATGTGTCTACGAAACATTTCATCAATTTTAGCGTTTTTATCCACGCTTATATTCAGTAACTTCTTTGAAATATAGCTGTCATTTCTATACTTCTTTGTCAATGATGATAATGATGACCAAAAATGTCTGGACCATATCACATATCGTCATAGTCGTAGAATACTGACGGATCTGACAAAGATTACATATAAAGATCCGTCAGTATTCTATGACTATGACGATATAAGTATGTATTAAATTTAATTA